TTTTAATTACTTTCATAGGAATTGTTACATTAAACAGAACCTGACCATTTTCCCCTCACAATTCAGTTCAACGAACATGACAATTCTCTGTTATAAGAAATGTTCTAATTTTAACACTTCTACAGATGGTTTGGTAAGTATGTGAAGCTTATTCCTCCCTTCTTTCCTCACTGGATTTATTTTAATCCTACATCACAGTCAGTTTAAAATAATTTGCATAGTATTGAAATATGTATGTCTTGTATTTAACCCCTACACCTTCTTAGAATCGCTATTTTAAACATCTTTTATTCAACTAATTCACCATTTATTAAACTGTATATGTATTTTCCAATTGTTGCACTTAAGGCTTTGGAAACATTTTCTTGCTTGATTCTCATATATATGTTATTAGGAATCCTATTCTTTTACACCTGAGGAAATTGAGGTGTGGTTACTTGAACATGGTCACATAGCTGGTAAGCTGTGGAGCTGTGATTTACATGGAGCTCACTTCCTTAGCCCTTTCCTGCTGCGGGGGGGTGGGGGAGTGGGGGGGTGGGGGAGTGGGGGGGTTAGATACAGTACTTTAGAGTGCAGGCCCCCAGGGGACTTGGCTAGGGAGACAGAGACATTGTCAGGACTTCAGGAGACCACTGTAGGCATTTTGACTGCTTGTGTATGTGTGTGTGAGACAAGAGAATAAGAGAGACAGAGAGAGAGAGAGAGAGAGAGAGAGAGAGAGAGAGAGAGAGAGAGAGAGAGAGAGAGAAACATTTGTTTTTCCGGTTGAGGGAGCTGTGTAGTCTTACAGTTTGCAAGTTATCTAGATACCAAATTATAGGGACCAGGACTGGTAAGATAAAAGAGAGAAGGTGGTTAGAGTGAGAGGGAGAACAAGTTCAAAGAAAAGTCTTTTCTTGGCCATTTTCTCAGGTTAAGGTCCAGGGTCATATGACTGACCTTGCTCTGTGAACTGTGCAGATCATTGCTTTGAAAGTCTCCTTTCCTTTTCATTAATTTTTATAAATGAATGAGTTGCAAGTGTAAGGTCATGAGGGGGAGTTGGACTAAAGTTTCCAATACCAGGGATTTATATTTTTTAACTTTGGCACGTTGATTAAAAGCTCACCATTTGCAGGGATCCAGTCTATAATATAGCGTCTCTCTGTGATGTGCCTGATATCCTGGGGCATGTGTTACTGAAGATGGTCAGTTTGTTGGGGGGAAAGGATGCCCTGAACCAACTCCACAAACACAGGTTTTATGGACTCCACCCCCACCCCAGACCAAAGAGATCCAAGACACCAAGAACTACAAATCCCATAATGTCATCACTGAAGGGAGAATTGCTGGGACCTGAGGGTGGGGCTAAGCAGCTAAGTTTAGTGTATAACCAGACATGTGGGCCTTGGGGGGGGGGGTCTCTTGGCTTTTCACTGGCTCTCAGAGTGCTATTGGGGTTCCAGCTTAGTGGAACTGGTAGGACGCATTCACCAATTTATCTCCCCCTCTTTCCCCCTGAGTTATTCATTTTATCAGGTCCCCTTCTTTTGTAAATAAACCCTTCATTACCCTTTGTGTGTGTGCCTGCAGTTGAGTCTTACTATAAGTCCTTTTTAAATGCGTGGGTGAGGACTCACAGTCAGGCAACCTATTTCATACCGGGGTTGCCCTGTAACAATGTTGTCAACTACAATTAAAAAGCCAGTATCCTGAGCTTGTGATTTAAAAATGGAAGTACTGGAGTTTAACAGCTGTTCACCTACCTGGTAAAAGATGCTAAATCTCCCAGTTTACTGCCCTCACCCAGAGGCATTTTCCGTCTTAGCTGACACTTCCTTTTGTGTGTGTACATTCCATCAATATCATTTGAAGCAAATTCAAGCCATTTCACTTCAAATAAACCCAGCCAGGGCAGATGACTTTGAGATTTAAAACCACAGAATGAGCACAAAGTGAACAATTTCATGTACTTTCTAGGCACCACAGATCTCTTTTCAAACATTACATGGGGTGCTCTCCTGCAACTTCAAAAGAAAAGGGAAACATTAGAATAGCCCACGAAAGTATTCGTGTTAGCACGCTGTCAAACTACACATGGCGCCCAGCCCATCATGCTTTCACTTAGAATGAATCAATGTTTATTCCTAAATTCTTATCTGTATCAGAGATAGCAACCATGCAAAAATTAGGGGAAAATCAACTTTTTACTACATTTGCAATTTTTATACTTAAGAATTATTTCATTTTGTATTTTGACTTTGTTTGAATAGAGTCCAAGTATTTCCTTCCTACTTCTGACATTTGTAGAACTACAAATTACCTTAACTTTCTTTCCCCTTAATAACTTTCCTATTTTGCTTCCTGAACAAAGGGCAAGTTCTTGAGCCAGTTCTTCAGGCTTTACATAATGTGGATCCTATTCCCCACTGTTCCTCTGCAATCACTCTACCCCAGCACTCAAGGAACTTGTTGCTATTTCCATACACATTCCTGAATTTCCCACCTGTACTTGGCTCACACAGCTACCTCCAGTAGAAATGCTCTATGGCACTGGCTGCAGCATGGGGTGGCAGGTTTCCCAACTCCAGTGATGGCTCAGGACCAAGGGAAGAGCTTCAAAAAGAAGGACCTGGCCATCCCCACACGCCTTTTCTCTACCACAGTAATCACTGGAGTATTTGTCAAGATGTAGCTCCCATCAGCCTAGGTCCTGCGCAACTATGATGAGCAGAAGTGTTTACAACTAATGGGCTCTTAACAGGTCCTGGCCCAAGCTTCCTCCTCTGTTCAATGTGAGGAATGAATTGGTGGCAGCAGGACCCTTGCTTATCTAAGTCTATGTTATGATTATCATCTCACAACCAAAAATAAGTTATATTTTAAGACAAAAACCTGGAAAGTAAATTGGGAAGTGTCCAACACTTTTCTTCTGTAAAATCACACCAATTTCTGTCATGCTGTTGTAACTCTAGAAATTCATAACGTTGTCTCTTTACTTTGCACACCTCCCCCCCACACCACCACCCCCCCACTTGCTACTAACGAAGCCATGTTTGTAGGCTTCCTCAAACTCTACATTTTCTTAGGAAAAATCCTTTCACAATCAGTGGATCAACAGTATTATTTATTAAAATATTAATATTTTATTTCCCCCAGTAAACGGACATTTTCTTCACTCCTTCCACATTTAGACATTAAATGCAGGAGATGCAATTTTGAGACATGGAGTTCCCAACCTAGGTTTCGTGCAGCTATTAAGTGAGTAAATAGGAAATTAGTGTTAGGTGCACTGCAATGTGGAAAAAATGTAAGATGGGAAGAAAGTACACAGGGAGCACCCAACACAGGCTTTGAGGGCCTGGAAGCTTCTGAGTAAATGATGTTTAAGCTGCGAAATGAAGGAAAACTGTGAGCCAGGTGACTTGGGAACAGGGAAGAAAAGGGTAAAGTCAAAGGAACAACACCTCTCATCCACCGAAATTCTTTCAGACTTAACTATTCTCCCTTCTTAGTTCACCCTTTGAATTTCACTGATTTCAAAGGCTCTAATTTTCACCAGTGCTTATTTTTTGACCTATAAGAAAACCTAAGACTTGGGCCTCCCCGGTGGCGCAGTGGTTGAGCACTGGGTTGCGAAGCTGCCCGCAGCCTCTGCAGCACCAGTTTGATCCCCGGACACCGGCAAGGGTCCCACATGGTGCGCAGACCTCTCCTGCCGCCCGCTGCTCCCCTCAGCAGTGTACTTCGTCATTCTGCCTGCTCTGCTCTCCGCTCTAGCTCTGGTGAATTCTCTCACTCTCCTGTGCTTCTCTCTGTACCCAGTGCTTGTATTAAAAAAAAATAAACCTAAAAAAAAAAAAGAAAAGAAAACCTAAGACTTCATGAACTTCAAAAATTGCTTTTGCTTATGCTTAAGGTAAATGGAAACTATTGCAAATTACTGTTTAAAGGTACTTACCTTCATTTCACTTCAGAGTTTTGAATTAAAATTTTCAGTGTCACATTTCCATGCTTTTTCCACTATACTCCAGTTTGGTCTATTCTTCCAGCTGGTTCCTGTGCATGTAGCACAGTAAATGAATTACTGGATGGATCTGTATGACACAACTTTGTATCACACTCTCAGGGCGCTGTTAGAGAAATTTAAATTTATTCCAGTTGGAAGAAGCACATGATATCTGCTTGGAGTAGAATCACTTATTTTCAACTGTTTAAGGAGGTTCTTGGACCACCTCCAGTAGTATCTTTACCAATATCTTTACCAATTTCCATTGCACAATCAAAAAACAAATGCAATTCCTATCATCCCTGTGTCTAGGTTGTATAAAAATAGTAATATCCATTATGTGGGATTTTTCAGGTGATCAGAAGTTAGTATAATTAAAAATGTTTTATCAGTTGCAAAGTGTTATGTAATAAATACTATGCTCTTGAATGTATGAATGCTCTTGAATGTATGACTGACTGTTTTATTCCTTTTTATATCAAAATAACCAAGTATGTATTAAATATCAATAATTTAAGCCAATGCAAGTGTTTCAACATTGCCACATTTGGCCACTAGAGGTCCTCAACAGTAACACTAAATATTAGTTTATTCTATTTATTACATTTGTTTGTTCCAGTATAAAAATTGTGAAATAATTTATAGAATATAACTTAAGAAAGTTGTTATATTAAATAAAACACATGATATGAAAGCCTAAAAGACTATGTACATGAATATCCTCACCGCATCCAAGTGTGAAATCAAAAAAGAATTACAGGAGCTAGAAAATTTTATTGTCAGTATGATCTATAGAATTCTGCTTTAATAATTGATAAAGTATTTCAATTATCTCAGAAAGTATTAAATATAAATCTAGTCTTGCTGGGGCAAACTTCTAATAGATACAATCACTTGGGTAAACAAATACTGTTACTTAACAACAAGCCTTATGATGTCCCAGGAACAGTGAAGTAAATTCCACAAGTATGGAAATGGCATTTAAAGTAACAATAAAATTAAAACCATTCCCAAATTATGAATGCATCATATATACAATTTCTCACATGAAACAAGTGATCAGACTAAACCGAAAGTACACACACACACACACACAAAACAAAAGAAAATGAGAACCTGGTATGTATGTTTAAATTTTAATATTTGAGAAAATAAAAGTTCAAATCTGATACAAACACCATGGCACCAGAAGAGAATATACAAATTTGGACCCAAATAGAGTCCATATATGAACTTGAATGTAAGAATGTATCATAACAATGTTATTGCAGCCTTGTAAATACATAGATTTTTTAAATCAGATTGACAAAAACAGGTAAAAGAATAGTAAGTTTTTCTCAAAATATTTTCCTTATCCATAAAGAATTATAAACTCCATGTGGAGAGGAAAGTTAGAGGTCATCTAATTGATTAAGGCATTTTGAAGATACAAGCCTTAAACACCTATTGTAAATGTGAAAATAATCAGCATTTCATTTTTCTCTCTTGAATATTGAAAGGATACATTAGTCACATTAACAAATTAGAGTGAAGAAAAATAAACATTCCATTTTTAGTGAAAATGTACATTATTACTTCTTTCAGGTTATTCAGTAATTTAAGCTTAGTATTTATTTTGCTAATAATATTAAACACAAAAAATATTTTAAAATTTTGCTTTACTAATAAAATTTCTTTCCAATCTCACAATGTAAATTTTATTTTAGAAATTGTGAACATGATTAGAAATATTGGCTACTAAGAGCATTTAAAAATATATTTGAAGAAGTGTCTTTCAGCCATTGTTTATAAAACCTAAACCTTTATTTTATAAGTGTCAACTATATATAATTAAAAATTATTTCCACATGAATATAATTGGAGAACTTTCTTACTGACAAAAATTAAAGCTATTTGTAAATTAACTTCTAATTTAAAAAAAATTCCTTGCATTTTGTGCCAGGATTCCTGATGTCCTGATGATGATGCAGGACCTCAGAGACCCATTAAACAAATGATGAAGATAGTTAATTCCAGGGCCTCAGAATACTGGGAAGCAAAGAGTTAAGAGCTCTGTTTACTGACTCAGCATGGTGGTTAGGATACTTTGGTTGATATACTGAAGGTAAAACTGTTTGAGAGTGACCAGATCTGATTTACTCAAGGACAATAATGCTGAATAAGCTGTCCAAGTTTGATTTACTCAAAGACAATAATGTATAATTTAAAACTATACTGTTCTGATAACTAGGTACCGATTACCCCTATCCAGTCTGGATAGCCCACTAGACCATAAAAAAATCCAAAACATGTGCAGTAGCTTATTTCCAGCTTCATTAGCACACTAAAATATCCACATGAGGAGTTGCTAAGCCAGCATTTCTTGCACTGTGACCTATGTGGAAGCAAGAGCTGTCTCCAACACCCAATTACCAAAGACTCCTTTGTCTCACTTTCACCCTTCCTTCTTTTAAACCCTTTCCAGTCCTTATTTGGAGAGGCAATCAGTGGGTACTTAACCCTTTTTGCCTCCATTACCTACAAGTAATGAAGGAACCTCCAATGAAGGTAACTTTGACCAACAAAGAGTTTGTGGCTGATTTATTTTGAGGCACCTCCAAAGTGACAAACATCTTGAGTTTGGTAACAACTTCTCAATATAAAAGTTGCTGTTACAAAGAAGCATCTCAAGAAAACACAGAGCGGTTAAAACTAGAATTATAATGCTTCAATAAGACATCAATGGAACTCAAAATTAAAGATCTGGAATCTCCAAAATGAAAACATTTCAAGAAGATTCTAATAAAGTAGAATTGGGAAAATACAAGCAACTCTGCCTAGAAGAATTAGAAGTTAGAAAAACATTGGCAAATAAACTAAACAGAACTATAGGGAGGCTAGCAGGGATCAATATCAAACCCCCTATGAACAAACAGCAAAACAGATCTTTACTTAGCAATTTTCCTATGAGGCCAGTCCCAGGACCACCTACGTTAGCTATCTTACTAATAATGGTTTAGTGCTCAAAGGACATCCTAGTCTAAGAGAAGATTCAGTGATTTTTCTTTCGACCTCAACACCACAGCCTTCAAATAACAGCATGGAGGCTTAGTTGACCCAATATGCAGCAGGAGTTGGAAAAAACTGTAACTAGAGCTCTAGAATAAATTGCTCCTCAATTTGAAATCTGGACCCTATAAAAGCACTGCTGCTCTAGGAGCAACTGATGAGTCCATTTAAATCAAGACCTACTTTTGAAAACATCAAAGAATATGAACAGATTTTGAAGAAATTATACGACCTGAAAAATAAATAGTAAAAATTTATTTAGGGCTGTTCATATAACATTTTAATTTTTTCCACTTAGCATATACTACATAAAAATCTTTACTAAAGTAAATTATTTTTGTAAAAAAAAAAAACGTTTATACACTGTAAAATCTACTTGGAGCCATAGGTTGACTAATACTTTGAGGGGGAGGAGATCAGGTGAGACACTAATCTGGTATAGTAGGAAATCTGCACACACAATTGATTATGGCCTATCTGCTCTGAGTTAATTTTCCAGCCCAAGGACACATCTGGAGGAATTCAGGGAGTCAGTGCTATGTGAAGACCAGCCTCAGCACACTGGGATGAGTGTAAGGCCAGGTGTCCAGGAGGGCGATAAGGAGCTTGGGGACTAGACATCACAATCTGCTGGCAGCGGTGAAGTCCTGCTTACTGCTGAACTCTCTTTGTTCAAATCACTAAAAAAAGGCAACTGGAAATGAAATGTTAAGGCGGTTTCTTTAGGGTGTTAATCCTCCCATCTTCCAGACTGCCAGCTATCTGATTAAAGTGCACTTTAAAGATTCAATTCCTGTCTTTACTTTATTGGCTTTCAGTGGTGACAGGTGGCCTGAACTCCAGCCTTCCAGTTACAATACCATTTACTTTTTTCTTTAAGGTTGAAAGGTTACTGAGGGAGGGGCAAGATGGCTGACTAGCAGGATGATGGAGCAGTTAAAAACAGAATTATGATGTTTCATATAATGTTGTCTCGTCTTTCCCCCTCAAGCACAGCAAACCAGCATGACTTTGTAAAAGAATGGAAGATTTGAGGATCAGTGTCCCCACAAGACAGAGTGTCAGAAACCATGGGAAAGGTTCAAGCAACTGCAGTACCCAACAAGGCTTTTCCTTAGACATTCTACAGCGGTAATCAGTTCCCAATTCCTTAGCCCCACTCCACACACTGGATTCTTGGGCTACCTATCACCAGGGTTGGCTCTTGCGCTCTAGTCATCCTGATGGGTGACAAGGCCTCAGGCAATACAAGAACAGAAAGCACAGCATACAAGGTCAACACCCTAGGCCTGCAACCTTCAATTCTCTCACAAGCTCTACATAGCAAGACTGGGAAGGGTAACTTAAGCTTAATCCATAGAAATGAACAGAGAGCACCAAACATAATGAGGAAGTAAAGGAATTCACCACAGCTGATGGTTCAAAACTCCTGGGGAAAAAACCGTAATATAACAGAACCAACCAAACTACTGGAAGACCCTTGAAATCTGACTATAGAACTGAGGTTACCAGAAGGGGAAAGTGAGGAATGGGAGAAATGGGGAGAAAAGCCCCAATGGAAGATTATGAGTGCCTTGGTAATGGGCAGGGTGTGGAAGGGTAACATAAATTTGAAGAGATGTGAACCTACAGCGCTAAAATACAATATATACAGCATTGCAAACCAACATTACTACAATAAATATAATTCAAGGAAAAAAATTCTAAAAGTTATTGACACAGAAATAGTGTTTCATCTTACAAGGAATAAACTCCTTCTTGAAGGTCAAATTATTTGTCTTTGAAAGATGCGCTAACATTTCTGATCACTAAAAATGGAAATCTTTCAGCACTTCTTGAACACTGACTACATCTTCCAAAGATGTAAATAACATCTCTCTCAATGTTCACATGAACAACAAAACTAAAACAAATATTTGTCTCCTTCAAGAGAAGCATCAATTATTCCCAAAAAATGAGCCTGCCTGCATGCATGTTTGATTTTAACTGTATTCCTCAGACAAAAGTTACTAATTATATGCAGTTTTCTTGCTTTATCATTTACAGAACATTAGTAGTCAGTTTAAATACTTATTCTATGATTGCACATTTGTATAAACCATTATTTTTCTTTATAAAACACTTTAGTTTAAAATAAGGAAACAGAAACCTCAATATTTAATAATAACCTGTGATAACTGATAATACCATAAAGTTATTACACAACCCTAAAATTTTCTGAAAGTACATTAATAATTTTTTAAATAGCCACAATCTCAAAAAAAAGCTATAAATATCATCTTATACTGTTGGAGTCTATGCAATCATTGCCTGATTTAGTTGTTTCTTGAAGAATCTGCCTGCAAGGCAGAAAATATCACATACATACTGTGCACTTGCCACTGGAAAACCAAAGGTAGCATGATATTATTAAAGAAAAACAATGTAGTTGGAAGACTCTAACTTAACTGATAGCATTATGCTACCTGAAGAAAAAATAATAATCATGATAGAATTTTTATGTAGCAACATTTTAAGGTTCTTTAACATCACCTTATTTTTAAGGTTGTTAATACATGATTCTGACATTAAAACACATTATTTTAATGTAAAAATTCCCATGCTTGTAGAAAATTACATTACTAAAAAGTTTTAATATGTAAAACCTACTAAACCAGTTTTCCCTTTCACATTGCACAACATCCATCTACAAATATAAGGTATAAATTCTTATAATAGATGAAAAATCTTTTTTTAATGAATTTTCATTTCTATTCAAAGTTAATTTGTCTTATTTTCTTTTACCAAAAATATTGGTAACAAATATTACAATGTTAATATAAGCCAGTTTTTAAAAACCCAGTTTTTTACTACTTGGAAAGCTTAACTTTTTAAAAATAAGAATGCTACCAGACCCAGAGTAACACCAAGCTAATCAGTAACAGCCACTGGGACTTCGTACTGTTAGATCAGGCAATCCTGATCAGGAAATTGAATTAGGTGTCTTTTGTAAGTACTAAACCGTTGTTTTTTTTACTAAATGAAATAACTAATAGTAAGAGCATCACTGCTGCTACTAGCAGGTATAACTTCCACATTTAATTCATATTAAAAATATAACAACTATAGGTATAATTCTAGTAGTGTTATTGGGCTTTACATTTCCCTTATAGGGCAGATATTAACAAAGATATATGGACTGAAAATCATATGAATGTCTATTATTAGTAAGAAACTTCTGGGTGATTTTATACCTGTCTGCCTCAAAAGGGTATCTTCTGGTGAATCACATGTGAATCTAATGAACCCTCTCCTCCTCCTAACCTCTACCTCCACCCCCAAGTCTCCACCCCCATCTTATTGCACCTAATGTCTATATTTGGACAAACACAGATAGGAGAAACTTTTATGATGTGAAGCTAGCATACATCTACTTTTCCTATTTTCTTAAAATGATAGATTCATATTTATTTTCTAGGTTTTTTACTTCCAGTCATAACAAAATAATGGTCGCTGTCATCTTTTTTCTTTGCAGTAGGCTTTTTGTCTCCACTAACTGCTTCCTTAGCAGATGACGGTGGCTTCTTGGTTGAAGATGGAGCTTTGCCACTTTTTGGAGGCACTCTAGCTGAATACTGGCTCTTAGTGGCAGTCTGCGCTGACTTTGGTACAGTTTGTGATTTGGCCGAAGACTGGGGAAGACTCACAATGGACAGTGGGGTACGGCCAGGGGACTTAGAGAAGCTGGGTGCAGTCTTCTGGGATGTACTTTTACTCTGAGGCTGCTTTTTGGCAACTGAAACCATATTTTTACCTTTCAATTCCTGTGCTGCTTTTGCAGGATCATCTGAAGATACCGAAAGTGGCCGGTTTAAATTCAAGGCTGACTTAAGTTTCTGTGCTGGCATGGCTCCCGCGTGCAGTGCTCCATCAGATGACTGAGACTGTGTTCCTGCCTCTGTGGTTATGGTTTTGGAGCTGGATTTTGTCATTTTTGTAGAATGGAAAGGTGAATGTTTAGGCCTTACATGTGTATTTGCTTTAGGTGGCTTTGGACACTTTGATGATGAATTTAAATGTGCAGCTGAGTGAGATACTGCATTATCCCCGGAAGAAATATGATCATGTTTCAAATGCCTCGGTTCAGTTTTTCCAGAACACTTTTTTGGCAACAGTGTAGACTCAGGCATATTTCTTGAATTCTGGACTGGAATAAACTTGGCCTTATGAGTATTGGGTGATGAGACACATTTACTCAGTGACTCAGATACACAACGTACAGTGCTTGGTAAAGAAGCTGAAGAACTGCTTTTACCTACTGGATTTACAGAAGCTAGTGAAGATGATGCACTGTTTGAAGGAGCATGTGGTTTCTTTGTTATGCCTTTTGAAGATTTGAGTTTGAGATGAGAAGATGCTGCTGGAGAATTTGCCAATTTAGAACGGCCTGACACAGAGCCCAGATTACCTCCTGTCAAGGAAGATGGAGGTAGCAACACAGCTGGAGGATGCGCCTGCTTTTCTTTGCTCCTTAGAATACCAGTTGGTGTGCCAGGTTTTGATTTCTGTTTCTGAAACATATCAACTGCTGACAAAGGATTCATTTCAGGAGGCTGAGCTGTTCTGGCAGGCGAATCAGGTATACTTTCACTAGAAACTCCTTTTTGAAATGCCAGAATTTTTTGTTCTAGGGTAGCAAACTGTAATATTCGACAGGGGTCATATTTAAGCAAAAATCCTTGAAGGGTATCCCAGCCTCCACCAACACGAACCATGACATGTTTTCCATGAAGCATCTTTCCCCCAAAAGAAAGTAACAAAATAAAGTTAAACTGTTACAGTTCATAATTATGATTCATTAGTAGTCACAATTTATGAAGTCTGTGTGCTATAAAATTTAGATTATTTGCCAACATCACTATAAATTGAGTCTCCTCTTTATTAAGATAATAAATTTAATTCACATTGAATTACACATAATTTGCATACTAAAAACCAAATTACTAATAAGCAAAATTACAAGGACAATATTGCTCAATAAAGAATTGAACATTATAGAAGAAATGAAAAGGAAGAGCAGGTAGGAGAAGGAGAGAAGGAAAAATGGGGACTTACAGAAAAAATGCCTCATAATAAAGAAAAAAGTTATGGAAAAAAAGATAAAAATGACTAAAAATTGCACTTTAGCATTTAATAAATTACATTCACATGTATTATATCAATTTAGTATTTCAAAACCCATAACATAACTTATTATTAATTCTTCTTTATAGATGAGAAGATTATGACTCTGACAGATCAAGGAAACTGTCCCAAATCACACAGGCTGGCCTGGACTCAAATACACCATGCTGTCCCAACTCAAATGGTGCTTTTGTGTGGATAAGACATAAAGCACCACTGCCTGCCAGGGCAGCCCAAGCTGCATCCCAGGACCCAATCCAATTCAGCAAGCAAATCTGCACACTATTGTATGAGACTGTCCTGCAAATTTTAATTCTAAATCTGATGCTCTGTGTGCTATTACTTATCATAAGATCTTAAAAAAGAAAGCTAATTTAAAAAGAGAACGTACATATACGTGATTCTGTGTGAGTTGTTTAGAGCATGGTGAGTTAATAATATATGTACCAAAAGAAAATGTGGATGATGAAATTATTTTTAAATGTTTTATGTTCTTTTCCAAATTGGTGCTAAAACAGCACTTGTTTTGCGTCATGTGTGAATAAAATGCAGAACAGAGACTATTAATCAATTGTGGACTGCAAATGGGACCAAGGAAAGAAATGAATATATGCATCAGCACATTGGTATATAGACTGATGCTGGTTCAATCAAAAACAGTATATATATTCAACTACAATGTCTATTTTTTTCATTACTACTTAATCTTATTAAATATATTGCTGTGGTTTTTTTTCTTGTGATAGAAAATCATTCTTTTTAAGAAAATGTGAAAAACAGGGCCTCCCTGGTAGCGCAAGGGGTTAAACACAGCACTATGAAGCAATCCACAGCCTCTTCAGCACAAGTTCGATTCTCGCTCAGCTAGGGAAAAACCCACATGGCGCAGCAGACCTCACCCAACTCACCTGCTGCTCCCCTCAGCAGTGTATTTCAGACAGTCTGGCTATTCTGTTTCCCACTCTGTCTCTGGGGAATCCTCTCATCCCCTACACCTCTGGCCTGTTCCCCAGCTCTTGTATGCATAAATAAATAAATCTTTACAAAAAAAAAGAAAATGTGAAAACCGGAATAAATTTCCTGAGGTATATAAGGAATGTTCCTCTAATTACATTCAACACCTAAATAGTCTTAAGTTATTCTTAGTTGTTTGCTGTGTTAAAGGCATTTACCTAAACCCATACTCATAAAAACAAGTACTCAATATTTTTCCTATATAACAAAATCATTCTATTAATAAAACCCTGTATCAATTTTTTTAAAAAGTAAAAAGAGAGCAAAAGGAGGTTGATAGAGCAATCAATCCAATTTTGAAACAAAATCTGTAAATAAGTAGAATGTAAATGGATGACTTACTCTTATAAAGAGTATTTTATCCCCTAGTCGGTACCGTCCTTCAGATAAGTACTCAATAGAAAATCGATGCGAACAACTACAAGGAGGGTCTTCAGCAATATGTTTAACCTAAGATTAAAAATAAATAGCAAAATTAAGTGCTCATTATAAAAAGTATTTTGTTTGACATTAAAATGCAAGATTAGGGCCTCCCCTGGAGGCACAGGCTGTTGAGCACCACACTGTGAAGCTGTCCACAGCCTGTAGTGCCAGTTCGATCCCAGCCGGCCAGCAAGGGTCCCACATAGCGTGGCAGACCTCTCCTGTCTCACCCACTGCTCCCCTCAGCAGTGTGTTTTGTCAGTCTGCCTGTTCTGTTCCCCGCTCTGTGTCTGGTGAATCCTCTCACTCTCCCGCGCATCTGGCCTGTACCCCGGTTCTTGTATAAAATAAATAAATCTTTTTTAAAAATAATAAAGTAAAATGCAAGATTATCTGATGCCTGGGAAACACAAACTCAAAACCAAGAATTCAAAGACAACTCGACTACTGATTTATGCCACATTTCATTTTCATCCAATGGTACGTAAAATTCACTACCTACATAAAAACAAAACATGGGGAAAAAAAAACATGGGGAAAAAAAAATGGGGAAAAAAAAACATGGGGAAAAAAAAAAAACATTTATGTTTAAGAAACCTTTTTCACATTTTACGATTGCATTTTTTTTTAATTTTTAAGACTCTCCATTTTATTGCAGATTATGCCAATATTCTAGATCAGTTTATTTTTAATTACTCCCCAAAATTAAATCATGAATAAAAGGTAAAAAAAAAAAAATAACTGATTTATATGATTGAGACAAAGGATTCACTGAGGAATTAAAAATCATGAAATCATCATCAATCACATCATTACAGATTGTAGTGTTTTGTGACTTCTGTTTTTTTTTTAATTGATGTAACATTTCATTATAACATTATTTAAGTCTCAGGTGTGCGTTACTGAAAATCAACTTGCATACATAATACATTAAGTTCACTGGTAAATATCAGTTCTATCCTTGACCATACCATTGTCTCCTTCGTCTCAATTTACCCACTCACCTTCCCCCTTTTTTTCAACCATTACTTGGTCTTATAGTCTAAAAGTTTACTTTTGTTTTATTAAGTATATCTGTTTATTTTCTCTATATGCCACATATAAGTGAAATCACAGAATGCTTGGCATTTTATCTATTTAATCTCTTCCCTTTAACTTACTGATAAATACTGGGATTAGACACTAGCTAATCTAATATAAAAGCCAGAAGTGATGAAGTGCAATAGTTTCTATCTATCCAAGTGCAGTCAGGTTCATTGTAAACTCACTGATCACTAGAGAAACTCTGTGAAAGTGGACAACACTGGAGTCGATTCAAAACATATTCACTAGACAGAGGAAACATATGAGCTCATTACTAAACTTGAAATGTTTAAAACCCTGAATTAATACATCACATCTGTGTCATATCAAAGATAGAGCAGATAAAGCTTAAGTTGGAATTCTAACCTGTCATTTAACATTGTGCCAAACTAATATTATTGAGGGAATATCTAGATTCCCTCCAAAGTCATTGAAATCAGCAGAGACAGACTTATGCTTATTCAACCAAAACGGGGTAAATTACTTAAAAATCCAATTCACTTTGTTTCAATAATCTGCTAAAGAGATGAAAGGTTAAAAAAAAAAAACCTACTTCAATATCTCAGAACTTCAGAATTTTTAATTGCAGTAAACATCTAAAAAATGGCAAAAGCTAGAACATAAAAGAAATGCAGGAATTCTATATTTAAAACATGGAAATTAAAATAAATTGATTACATGAAAATATTTGTTGAAATACGGTTCAATTGGGAAAAAATTGCACATCAACAACTATGGAAATGACTTTGTTTTCTTTTTTCTTTTTTTTGGTGGGACCCTTGCCAGTGGCCGAGGAACGAACCATCACTGCAGAGGCTACGGGCAGCCTCGCAGCCCAGCGCTCAACCTCTTCGCCACCAGTGGAGGCCCATGACTTTGTTTTCTTAAAATTACATTTTTGAGAAAGCAAGTCCATCAATGTTTTTCTCAATTATTTGTCATGCAGAGTATATCTAAACAAATTCTTTTAATTTGACTTAGGTATAATGTTAAGGAAAGCCTCTTCAGATATGCCCAATTTAGCTGAGTATTAACCAAAATTTATGATTCTCTTAATGATCTATCTGAAATGAATGGAGACATGTAGACTCACCAGGGCTTGATCAGAAGGATCCAGAATTTATCTCCTTCCATCACTCATTTAACAAAATAACATGACCATAAATAGAACGAATTTTTATAAATCATTCAGTCAAAGGTTATCTTGTTCAGCCTGAATACGTGTGCATGTGTGTGTACACAGTCACATACATACATCCATATGCCATGTGTATAAAATGGCTAAAAGTAAACTGAACTTGAGTAAAAAAGTTTACAATGATTAGAATCTTTTACATATTAGTTAATTAACCAAAATAATGTGAAAAGAGGTATTTATTTCAGTCATTCTTTTCTATCCACAGCTTCATTAAAACACAGAACTGCAGTTGTATACTTAATGTCACTGCAAATTAATCATATAATTATTCCTAATTTTAAACATGATCCCAATATTTCTGTAGATCACATATGTATAGGTGAACACTAAATGTTTCATAGTTATTCTAGATTTTCTCTTTCCCTATCGGAATTAGTATTCTCATTAAGTCTACTTCCTAAATGTCTTATACCTGTTCCCCACTATAGCTGTTCAAGTTCATATTCTCATCATTTTATGCCTAGAATGTTACAATAAAACAATCATTATATGACCATGAGAACAAAATTTATAGGCTATAAATCAGATTATAACACTACCTCCTTAAAAATTGAATCCGCCTCCCAGGTAGCACAAGGGGTTAAACACCGCACTATGAAGCAATCCACAGCCTCTGCAATTAAGAATTTGATCCCCGGCTGGCCAGGGAGCAACCCACATGTCGCGGCAGACTTCTCCTGTCTTGCCCACTGCTCCCCTCAGCAGTGTATTTCAGTCAGTCTGCCTGTTCTGTTCCCCACTCTGTCTCTGGTGAATCCTCTCACTCCCCGCACCTCTGGCCTATAACCCAGTTCTTGCATGCATGAATAAATAAATCTTTGAAAAAAAAATGGAAATCAATGAATTCTTGTGATTTACAGCACCCTTCATGATGACTTCTAGCCTATGTGCCCCACCATTCCTCAACTGCACATCTTTCCTCATGATCTTCAAGCAGCAAAAAAAATCACCTTTAACTCACCAGGTAGTAGGAATCAGCATTGGTATCAGTATTCTGAGTAAGAAACTCTGTCTTCTAAATACAGTATTACTTGTGGCAAACTATGTTACTTTGATACATCATAGTTGAAAGAAAATATGGCAATTACTTACAGCTTCATGTAGCTCTTCATGCTGACAACATGATTTTGGAATGCTGATGGAATCTTCATGTCCAGATGTATTAAGTAAGGTCTCTTCTAGCTCAATTTCTTTCTCAAGTTTTACTAATACTGGTGGCTCAACCCCGTATCTAAAAACCAATTAGGAGATCTCACCATTCAAGCAAAGTCTGATCCAAGCACTTTCCTGAACATTAAAAAAGGTTATCTTTTATTTTTAAAGTTAAATCTATATAACTCTCTTCTACCATTTCACCGGATTATCTAGAAATGCTTTCTAATTAATAATTATCTAGAAATAATAATAATAATAAATAATAATAATAATTATCTAGAAATGCTTTCTAATGTCCCATAGATTACCAAAAATTCATATAATAATATAATAATATTCAATTATAGCATATCTTTGGGTTACTGGATACTCCCAACTTTCGACCAGAGATTCTGAAAGGCATTTAACATCAGGTCTTGAGTCAAGATAGGGCTGAGCTGGGTATGGAGGACACCTAAGCTTCAGCCTTCTTATAGGGTCCTCTTTGTGTTTAGAGAACATGCCTTGATCTGCTAAAAGACTACATGCCCTTACTTTATTCTTCTTTTCTCTGATTCTATTCTTTTTTTTTTTTTTTTTTTTTTTTTTTTTTGTGGGAACCCTCGCCGGTGGCCAGGGAACAAACCGGCACTGCAGAGGCTGCAGGCAGCCTCGCAGCCCAGCGTTCAACCGCTGCGCCACCAGGGGAGGCCCACTCTCTGATTCTATTCTTAACCTAAAAAATTTAAGTTATCACTTTCACAGCTTAATATTAAATAAAGGTAAGTTATATGAGCAAACAGATAGATACATGGAATAACTTACGAAATGAGAACAAAATAAGAAAAAGAAAGAAGAAATATGAAATTAAGCTTTTTCCATCAAAATCATTTATTTATAGAAAAGTGTGTTAGCTAAAACAAACTAGATTAAAAACATTTACGACATTAAAATTCTAAATTATTGTGGAATACATACCTTGACACAATTCGACCAATTTCAAGAAGACAAAGATATACTTGTCTTGGATCTTTGTGCAAAACTATGAAAAAATAAGACCACATATTTTAAGAGGGAAAAAATAAATAGGGAAATATATTTCTGGAAAAAAAAAAGAATAATACTTCGAGACTTACAAAAGGCATTTTTATTTTTGCTACATATTATCTTTTTCTATAAATATTTTTTAAATTAAATTAAGAAGATGTTTATCTCTGAGACCTCTAGAAAACAAGAACATTAGTTCATCAGTTCAATACCTAGAAATAAATTAATGTAATTAACAGTGCTTTATTTTGTCTTGTACTGACCTTTAGGACAGCCAGAAGATACAATTCTACTGAGAAGTATACAACAATCTTAGGGCCCATAAGAAACAGTAAACTGGAAACTGGAGATTTCTAAGTATTTCCTCTTACCTTTGATTTCTAGAAGCTATGTATGCCATTAAAATCAACTACATTGTCAGTATTTTTTTTCTTTTTTACTGTTTTTTGTTGTTGTTGTTCTTTAACCCAAACCCTAACCCTTGCCCTTACATTGTCAGTATTGACCAACATACCTGGATTAAACCAGAGTACAAATTACATTTTTTTATTCTTTTTTTTAAGATTTATTTATTTATACAAGAACTGGGGTACAGGCCAGATGCGCGGAAAGGTGAGAAGATTCACCAGAGACAGAGCGGGGAACAGAACAGGCAGACTGATGAAATACACTGCTGAGGGGAGCAGCAGGCGAGACAGGAGAGGTCTGCCCCGCCATGTGGGATTCTCCTTGGTCAGCCGGAATCGAATCCACACTGCATAGGCCGCGGACAGCTTCACAGTGCAGCGCTCAACCACCTGTGCCACCAGGGAGGCCCTACATTTTTTATTCTATGCTGGGTAAGAATACCCAGAGGTATAACAAACAAACAGCAGTGGAAGCAGCTTACCTTGTGTGCAGCCAATAAAGGTATACATAGTTGAGAATTTTAAAACAATAATAAAACCAAGTAAAAGTCAGTTTCTTTTTATCATCACTGTGAACAAGCAATCCTAAACAATATCAGTGAAAAAATACTTCTATCAAAGCAGACTACTCTTCCCACAGCACCAACTCTAGGTATGCCACATTCCTATCATGACACTACAATTTTGTGTGTGTGTGTATGTGTACACATGTATTACACATAAATACTTTGAGGAAATCTATACATAGTCTAAAACTTGAATAGCTTCCACTTAGTCACTACACAGATGTTTCTGCTGATTTAAAGGAAATGAGGGGCCTCCCTGGTGGCGCAAAGGGTTAGATGAAATCTATGAAACATCTGCAGCCACTGCAGAACTGAGTTCGATCCCTGGCCAGGGAGCTACCCACATGGCATAGCAGACCTCTCCTGACTCTCCCCCTTCTCCCCTCAGCAGCGTATTTCAGTCAATCCACCTGTTCTGTTCCCTACTCTGTCTCTGGTGAATCCTCTCAACCCCCACACCTCCGGCCTGTACCCCAGTTCTTGCATGTATAAATAAATAAATCTTTTAAAAAACTACATAAAGGAAATGAGAAAATGTCAATGATTCTTCAGTAGAGCATGAATTTTCAAAATGAATTGTCAAAAACATTAACCCATTTAAATAATCAAGTTGGTAGTTGATGTTTACAAGGTAAATCTAAACACGCTGAGCATATATCATCTGGCCTTCTATTATTTCTGTAATTATCTAGTTGAAAAGAAGTTACAAGTAATTTAAAATGATAAAAACATTAATTAGTAAAACATTAGCATCTCCCCATAGTCAACTCATTTAGGAAATAAAATATTTCTAAAGCATTCGAGATATATTAGATCTTTAACTACATAGGGAAAGCTTAACATATTTGGTTGTTGAGTCTGGTTCTCCAATTGTTCCACATATTCAAAGTATAAATATTTCTAGGAAAATAGATATGGTATTGAAACCATGATTGGAATGAAAAATTAGAAGTATACAAAAATACACTAATAAACCTTGAACATAACAACAGAAGAAAAGCACTTACCTAAACCTTCAGATTCAAAGAGATAAGTCTCATCAACCCCAATGTGCCTACACCAGTGAAGGAAGTTTGCAGTATTGTCTCTAGCAAAGAACGAGCCTGAGGCAGCATCTTTCTTACAGGGCACTTTTCTCATTGGAAAATTCTGGAAAAGACAAAATAATAATTTCAAAAGTGCATCAAGGTTATTTTCATTAGATATCCATTTTAACATAACTAAATAAATGTTCAGTGCATTAATGCATCTAAAAATTACACAACTTTGGTAGAAAAGAAAGCTTCAAAAATTATTGTATTTTACTTTCCTGTAAGTATATTCTAGAAATTATTTCTAAGAAAACAGTCTGGTCAAATTAGCAGTAGGATCAAACATCTCTAACTGCTTTCTTTCTAAAATAATAAAAATCTTAATTAAAATTAAAAAATGACAGCCTAGTAACTCCAAAGCACATCTCTTTAATATGTTCTCCATACATAGTTCACTGCAAAAAAAGTTATTCTATGTTCAAAGTTAACACACAACCTCATTTTTACTTACTTCTGTATTTGCAGATTCATAAAAATGGTTCTGAGTTTCTTGAGGACACTTTCAAATAAGGAAGTAATAGTTCAAGTTCTCTGAAAGCTTTGGTCAAAGTTTTACAGAATCTTAGTTTTTTGACAACCTACACCAAGAGTAGATAATCCTGCTGAGGCTGAGGGGTTTTCAGCTTTGCTTTAGTTTGAGTATTTACCTGAATAAACAACTCGTACACAGGATGTTTAAAAATGCAACAGGCATAGTAGAGTATGTTTTTCTCCCACCTCTAGCCCTCAGTTCCTCTTTCTCCCTAGAGATAACCACTATTACCAGTTCCTTGTATATCCTTCCTGTCACTATTATTTTCCAGAATTAAAATAGCTTTGTGGGTTTTTCTAATTGTAAAAAGACTATATGGGCACTGTCAAAAAATAAATAAATAAATCCAGCCAAATACAAGATAGTTTCCTCTCATTCACATTTTAGTAAGACATCTTTATGCACCAGTATACACATATCTGTAGCTACAGATTATTACACAAACTATTCTGCAATCTGATTTGTGTATATTTGCACATGCATGTATACATGTATATACATCTTAATAGTAGATTGGTTGTGAGGCATCTTTTAGGGTAAGAAATAACAATAAAATAGTCATTTCTAATAGATAATATTCCATTCTATTTAGGCACCATAATTAATTTTTGGTAACATCAATAATGATAATTTGGATTGCTTCTAATTTTTGTACATTTGTGATTTCCTTAAATTCCTGAAAGTTGAATTATTTTATGTGTGAGTATCAGAACACAGTGTGAATATTAGAATCCCCACTCAGGAAAATATTCATGTTTCATGAAAATGGAAGAAAACTTATCTTAACCTTCAAGTAACAGCTTCAGGGTCAACAAAGGGAAACCGTGTAAAAAAAATTATTATTTATTCAACCAGTATATGTAGAATCTACCACCAAGACAACATATGGAAAATACAAAGATGATGATGGTGATGATGATGACCCTACAATGTGTGCCAGGAACCATCACAAATTCTCCTCTCATTAACCCTCACAACAATCCTAAAATTAAAATACTACTTTTGTTCTCAAGATAAGCTAGCTACTAGATATTTACAATGTGTCAGGCCCTGAGCTAAAAGCTATGTACATATTATCTCATTTAATTTTCCTGAATATTTACAGACAAACCCTACAAGGTAAAAGTTAGTATCTCCATTTTACAAGTAAGAATCCTTTTACAGATGCTAAAAAAGAGGAGGCAAATTATCCAAGGTCTTTTAGTGGGTTGTCAGAAAAGTCATGACACATTTTTGTTTGGAAAACAGAAAAAATACATCATGACTTTTCTGACAGCCCAATAGATGGTTGGGATAGAAGTTTACAATTTTGTAGAGATGATAAGAACTGTATATAAACAAATTAATACATAACAAGATATAAAATCACTACCCTCAAACATTTACTTACCCCTGGCTCTTCAAAGTTGCATGTTTTAACCATATTTTGAAGAACAGCAATCAGTTGGCATAGCAGTACTCCATTATCAAGTTCTTCCAATAACCTTTCTGCTTTAACATCAATACCTTAATGCCAATACATATTTCAAAGTTAAAATTCTTCTAGAAGTATTAAATACAAACAATATGTTTAAAATTTAAATAATATAATCAGATAATAATGAAATACTATAAAAATATTAGATCAGACTCCAAGTATTCACTCTTAGAAGCTACACTGAAGAGAGCAAAGAATAAGTCAAATTAAATAAAGAGAAGTGAAACAAAAATATCTGTGATGTTTAAGTACAGGTAGAAAACAGGCCAAAGTGTTTTATATTTTATTTTATTATTTTTTTAAAGATTTATTTTATTTTTATGTATACAAGAACTGGAGTCTACGCCAGAGACGGGGGAGAGGTGAGAGGATTCACCAGAGACAGACTGGGGAGCAGAACAGGCAGAGCAACTGAGATACACTGCTGAGGGGACAGCAGGAGAGACAGGAGAGGTCCACTGTGCCATGTGGGTAGCTCCCTGGCCAGGGATCAAACTTATGCCACAGTGGCTGGTGAGAGCTTGATAGCACTGAGACTTTAACTTCTGTGCCACCAGGGAGGCCACCAATGTGTTTTATATTTTAATATGCATTGCTAAGTTTTGATTCACGTTATACTACTATTGCTTACACAAGAAAAAAGATTATAAATAAGACTTTGCTGCAATTTAAAAATTGGGGAATACCAGCTTTTGACCTCTAAAACACATTCTTTGGAAGCATTATTACTATATAATAGGTTTTAAAAAATTATTCAAACCATCAAATTGATATCAAATAGCTAGAATGGATGTTTGCTATGTTTTTAATAATCTTGGGAAGGTCACATGTGAGCTTCATATGTTTCTTTTCATGAAAACTTTACAATGCTACATGAAATTTTGTATTTAAAAGAATTCTAGGGACAAGATTTAGACCACTCATCATAGTCTCTGAGTAAAGTAATGTGATGACATATTTTCCCGACCAGATACTTCCCTTTAGGTTTTATATGCCTCTACCCCTCTGTGTCTCAGAAACAGTAATCATTTTAACTACATTATATATTCTGTTCAAAACTTCATGACATCCTCCACAAGATTAAGGGGAGGGAGGAGATCAGTAAACTGTAGACTCCCAAATCAGACCTATTATTTTTAAAGACATGAACAATGATAAAAATGTTGATTCTTCAAAGCTTAGTGGCACTTCCTTTATTTATTTTTTTAAGGATTTATTTATTTATGCATACAAGAGCTGGGGTATAGGCCAGAGGCACCGAGGGTGAGAGGATTCACCAGAGATAGAGTGGGGAACAGAACAGGCGGATTGAGTGAAATACACTGCTGAGGGGAGCAGCGGGCAAGACAGGAAGCAGATAGCTTCATAGGTTGCATCTTAACCCCTTGCGCCTCCAGGAAGGCCCAGTGGCACTTCCTTTAAACCTCCAATTTCCTTACTGACATTCAAGCTCTAACGGTCAAGGTGAATCAAAATATTTCCTTAATGCGTTTTTGCATAGAAAACACAGAAAAAATACATCAAGAGTTTTCCAACAACCCAACAGAATGAAAACTCAGTGAGAACAAGAACATTAAATGTTTTCACTCATTAGAACAGAGTAAGATTTTCAATATCTACTGAATGAAAGAATACAACTTGTGATATTCAAGGCTTACCTAATAAGCCAGATAACCAAATTGACAGATCTTCTTGCATAGGCAACAGGGTGGCCTCATGCCTCACAGCTATCCATTCATCATACTGACAAACATCAGCCAAACCTGGGCCATGTCTGGGGGTCAGAGGACTCCGTGGACTTAACGGCAGGTCTTCTCCAAACCACACCTAGAGAAAACACTAACTAATCAAATGGACATGAACTTGTTTAAAGTCAGTATACCCCATGTCTATTTTAATGATAAATTATAGACTAGACACATATATACAAAACTGCAGCAGTTCACAGAAAATATATAAAGTAGAAGCAAACTATTAGTCTAGATGCTTGACACATTTTTAATATTCAATACTGTGGTAAATGTAAGCAAACCCCTAAATAATGAATGGATTCTACTTTTAAGAGGATGAAAGTCAAAAAATGATATTTTTTCCTTCACTAAGTTTTATCATTAACTGATTAAATTTTCTTAACTAAGATTAATTTAATTTAACCTCAGCATTTTGGCATAAAATAGGTTAATGACATTTTAACCTAGCGGCAAGCAGAGTAGGCCCAAAGACACTGAGCACTTTGCGAAAAGGAGGAGGGTCCCACAGCAGAAGCAGTGTACTGGTGAATTCTCTCACCCTCCCGCGCAAAATGCAGCAAACAAATAAATAAAGCATGCCTCAAAGACAAAGAGAAACATAAGTTATTTGAAAGACTTTAATTCAGGAATTCAGGGTAGGGATTAGGGAATGAACTGAATATGAGTCCATTAAATTTCAGGAATAAAAGTGTTATTTATTTCTCTCACTCTCTTACATCATTTTGAAGGCAGGATAGCAAATGTTTACTATCGAAACCTTCCCTTCATAAGTATATCTTACTTCTGTTTATAGTTCCAGGATTCACCATAATGCTTAGCACACAATATTCGGTCAAAAATATTTGTTGAATAATTGAAGATTATATCAGTAAATGACTTAGTTCCATCAAAATCAAGAGGCATCTTACAATCAATCGCATTTTAGAGTCAACAGAATGTTATTTTTTCCTTTAACCATTTGACAAAGCTGAAAAAAAAGAAAAAAATGTTTCTCAAGCAGAGATACCTATTAGTTAGGAGGATAATTTTCACCAAAAAAAAAAAAAAAAAAAATCATGTGTGAAAAGAGACACTAACATTAACAAAGGTCATTCTAATTTCTTGCCAAATTATGGAGAAGAATATTTGGAGTTTCCTAGTATTACAAGCAGAAGACTCTATAATAACCTGGGCCAGTTATTATCATATTAATGTCATTAAAAGTTAGATGTTAACAACAAAAATAGCATGTGCAATGAATGGTTGTTTACAGACATGCTGAAAGTTTCCATATTATAGATATTCTCAATCTCTAGGCAATCTATAGACGAACTTGATTAAGTACACAAACCTATTTAGAGTTAGGAAAAATTTTATGCTTATGTACAAATAGGTCTTTTCTCAGAGAGAGTTCATGGCTTTTGTTAGGTTCTCAACAGGGACTATGATGCAAAAGAGCTTAAGGAAGTCTTTTACTAATCAGAATTAAGGGAATGGGGGGGGGCGAGGAAGTATTCAATTAGTAAGAAACCAATTAATAACAGCTATTTACTTGGAGAGGGGGTTCTCCTCTCTGTAACAAACTAATGAATAAGTTAACAGTCTAGTAGAAAAGAAAGAGGTGAAAATCCTATAAAGTTCTCACACTAATCAGGGAAAAAAGCAAAAACTTCCATGAGAGAAGTCAAGATTGCTTGTGGAGAAAATCATTTAAGATGGATCTCTGGAATCTAGATCAGACAAGATTTCATGGAACTATAAGACAAAACTGTGAAAACAATCACCCAGTTAAGAAAATATTACTGGTCATTAATGTAGAAATGAGAAAAAGTGTGACAGTGATAAGCACTCTAACAAGGTATTAAAAAAATATGAAACTGACAACATTTCTGAGACAAATGAAAATAGAACGCACAGAAGTAATCAGATTTTTAAAAAATGGTTTTGAACATAAAATAGTTATGAGCATAGTAAGTGTAGCTTTGTAGGACTCAAAAGGGAAGAATGAACTTTTGGGAGAGTGCCAGGCATTCCCAAGTCCCAAAAGGAAAAAGGTGTCACAGAAATATCTATCAGAAGGGTAGAAGGACACAGTAGCACAGCACAAAAGGAAGTATAAGCAGAATTACAGAGTTGTTCTTAACCATTTCATAAGCAAATTCTCTAGGTTATCAGCCACTGTTATCTTAATAGGCCTTCTTTCTTAATAAAAAGAAATGACTTTCATGACACAAGTATAATCTCCAGTTTTTGACTTTAGATCTGAATAAGACTGTTGTACCAAAGACACAGTGAAATTTCTGAAGAACCTACTATGCAATATACATTCAAGTAGTTACTTTGTGCATTTTATCTCATTGAATCCTCACAAACACCCTACAAAATGAGCACAATTATGCTCACTTTAGAGGTAAGGAAGCAAAGACAGAGAAGTAAAAGACCTTGTGAAAATCTGAGTAGCAGAATGTGAAGAATAAGCAGAAAAGAAATTTCATTGAACCTTAGGTTCTCAGTTTCCAGGGCAAATTTTATGATCACCTTCCTTCTATCTGATTTTTATCTTTAAATTAATATTCAATCATGTTTTATTTACATCAAAAGAAAGAAAACTTAAAAGGATATAAGAATAACAAAGCAAATATCAACTCTGGAATCATTCAAATATAAGAGTATTCTAGTTTTTCTCATCATTCTCACCAAAAAAAAAAAAAAAGAACTACCTTTCAGATTTTTTTTTTCAACTGTTTATTGAGGTAATGTTGGTTTACAACACTGTATTTATTTTAGGGGTTATAGGTTCAAACCTCTACAAATGTGTGTTTTCATACCATGACCACTGCAAAAACCCCAGTAATCCTTTCCACACTGCATGGGATCCCCTCCCTCCTTTACAGGCATTATAGGGTACATACATAATTATTTGAGATAAAAACTTATATTTGCTTTCATTGAAAGCTCTTTTAACTACAGAAAACCACAATGCATATCAAATTGTAATGAGAAAACCGACAAAATATTCCAAATCTTTTCCCAGGGTAGTAGAGATAAAATGAATCTACCAATTCTCAGGTATGTTTAGTTCTTAAAAATATTTAGTATAAATGAAAGTTTAGATTTGAAAATAGAAAATCAAAATACAGTATTTCTATTATTAAATTTTGATGCTTAAGAAAACTAGTACAATAAAAACATATTATGATAATAATTTAGTAAATCTTGTAATTTTATTAAATGAATCTCATAATTTAAAAATACTTTTTCCCAAGAAAAATACTTACTTGAACTGCAGGCTGCATGGTCATCTATATTGAAATAAAACTGCTTTTCTGAAAATAAAAGAAAACATTAATATGCAGTAGTGGTGGCTTTCCTACTCCCCCAAACCCTCAAATTATAAATCTAAAACTTTTTCTTTTAGTTTGAATAATTTGACAATAAAAGAATTCAGTAATCACTCCAAGCTTATTTCATAAAAAATACTCCTGATTTGAAACAGGAAAACCTAAACTACATTTTAATTTATATAATTTCTGACACTAGGATCAAAGTAATTTTTGAAGCATCTGGCTATAAAAAGCATAAAACTTAGACTCATATAAAAATCTCCCAGAATTCCCCTCTATAAACATAATATAATGTAAATACAAATATGACAACAACTAAGACTGAAAAGTCAAGTATTACTCATCTGATCTTTACATGGAGTTCATATAAATTCATTTGAACTTTGTGTAAATTCATAAGCTTAATCTGGCATAAGCAACCTCTGCCAGATGACAAGGTAATAAAGATAAACATCAATTTTAACTATGAAACAATACTCAATGCCTTTCTATAATTTTTCATGTTATTTTCTCCATGAGGTACTAAAGACAAAAAAAAAAAAAAAACCAGAAATCTTAGCTCCAAACTACTTAACTCCAAACGACTACTATTCTTGCCATCTATTAGGAAAAAATACAACTTCTATTAAGTTAGATTAGTATAATTCTTCAATGCATTTGAAAAGTGAAGAACCTAAAAAACACTCAGAATAATATGTTACATAAAGCCTAAAGTTTCTGATTGCTTATAGCTGCATAATACACTAGTTTGCTTTTTTATTATAAATCAACATTAAAACTAACTCGAAGGAAAAAAAATACAAAGTAGTTGATAAGGCTATAATGCTATCAATTTCCAATTTATTTTCTCCTCTAAGCTATAACAAACATACCTTACGCACAGTGCCAGCAACACATACAACTTTGTTTTCAGGAACATTTCTCCTAGCACTAAAGTTGAACTTAATCTAAACCTAATGGAAAAGTCTAATATTACATCATATTCTTCTACCAGCAGGCAAAGAACAGCAGAATATCCTATTTGATGTCATTTTTCCTTCTTTCTAGCATAGCAAAAGGCCAAAGTACAATTGAGCATTACTAATAAGCTTGTTATGCTTCCCACGAGCAAATCAGTGGGGAATACATTTTCCTTTAGCATAAATAATCCTTTGTGCCCAACAAAGATCCACAGTAAGAAGCTTCCAAGACCATTTTTTAAAAATGCAGCAAAGAAGCTGCTCCCATTAAAATAAAGAGTCCCACATAATCAGACAAGAACTTTAACAGTTGGAACTGCCAACCCAAAACAAAAGAAGGCCTAAATTATAAGGCGTGTGCAAATCAAGAACAGTGACATATTCACAAAGAAGCTATCACAAGAATGTTTAGTAGTTGCACTTTTTATGGAAAATTCAACAAAATTAGTTTTATGAAAGAAATGAGGAATTTGTGCACAACCTTCACTCACTTGAATTTTAGCAGAGGAATCTTGTGTGTGTGTGTGTGTGTGTGTGTGTATACTAAGACTACTTTTAAGATGACAAAATACAATCATCCAGATTACTTTTAAAAAGAAATTCTTTAATACAATAGTTTTCAGATGAATTATAATTTGTCTTCATATGAAGAGCTATCATGTACATAAAATATATGCTTTCAGGGCCTCCCCAGTGGCGCAGCAGTTGAGCCCTGGGTTGCGAAGCTGCCCGCAGCCTCTGCAGCACCGGTTCAATCCCTGGCCACCGGGCGAGAGTCCCACATGGTACGCAAACCTCTCCTGCCGCCCGCTGCTCCCCTCAGCAGTGTGTTTCGCCAAGTCTGCCTGTTCTGTTCCCCGCTCTGGCTCTGGTGAATTCTCTCACCCTCCCGCACGTCTGACTATACCCAGTGCTTGTACAAATAAATAAATCTTTAAAAAAAAAAAAATATATATATATATATATGCTTTCATTAAAAAAACCTATAAGCTGGGCCTCCCCGGTGGCGCAGCAGTTGAGCGCTGGGTTGCGAAGCTGCCGCGGCCTCTGCGGCGCCGGTTCAATCCCCTGCTGCTCCCCGGCCAACGGAGGAGGGTCCCACATGGTGCACAGACCTCTCCTGCGGCCCACTGCTCCCCTCAGCAGTGTACTTCAGGCCTTCTGCCTGCTCTGCTCCCTGCTCTGGCTCTGGTGAATTCTCTCACCCTCCCGCGCTTCTGACTGTACCCAGTGCATGTATAAACAAAAAACAAACAAACAAACAAATAAAATAAAAAAATAAAAAAAAAACATGCCTCTAAAAAAAAAATTAAAAAAAAAACCTATAAGCTAATGAGAGCTATAAGCTAATGAGAACATATTGATGAATCATCAATTAATGTGTCTTAGGCATTGAGACCCAAGAGTAGCTTCTTTGCTATAGCTAGCTCTAGTTCCCAATCTGCATCACACTCACAATTTTGTTTCTTATTCATTTCACTATTTGCTTCTTTTTATCTTTCCCTAAATGTCTTTAATTCTTTTATATACCACATCTATAATGAATAACGACAACTCAGTCTTGGAGCTGCACCTTGATCAGAAACTTATTGGCTTTATTTTAGTTTTATCTTTGCTTTGTGGTCTCTTTGCAGAAGTCTACTTCAATTTTTTGCCAATTTCAGGGAAGTCTTTCCCTTAGGTTTAATCCAAAAAAGGCCTCTCATGACCAAGTCCAAACTATATTCTAATTGTGCTGAGAATATTTCAGTAGACAAGGGTCTTAAACAGATATTACAAGGGAAGAATACTATCCTTAACTTTTAAAATCTAGGGAAAATGTTAGAAAATCAGAAGGTTGCTCATCCACCTGAAACTTGAATCGGATTTGGGCCTAATAATCCACTCATTTTAAGAACAGTTTCAGTTATGAGATGTACAAGATTATCTGTGATAAGACTCTTCATATCAATTTGATCTCACATCGATCATGATGAAAGAAACATCAACCATACATGTCATCAATTCAGTTCTACAATTGTAAACTCTGAAACTGAGTACAGTTTTATTCCTCAACCACATTATAAGCCATGGTAGGGAGAGAATAGTGTGACATGTTCAGTCCTGGTACAAATCAAAGATCAATTTTGAAAAGAATGGCAAAAAAAGTGAAGAAATAAGTTAGTTTCTTCAGATAAACAGTATTAACTGCCACTGCACCACATATACATTTAGCACTCAGCCACCAGATGAATGGATGAACGCCAAGACACACAAGCTGCAGAAATGTGATAAATGACAATGCGAGTACAGTGGCTACTGCTGAGCAGCAAGAGAAAGATGAGACTGGGGAGGAATGTACAGAGTCCTTCAACTGTACTGTTAGATTTTTTATCTCAAGAGAAGTAGCTGTAACCCAGGTGTTATACTAGTCTTTCGCCTTTCTGTATGTCAAAATACATTTCATCATTCTTAAAGTTTCATTTAGAAAAACAGTTGAAGACATCCTTTTTGATTTGTTCACTAAAAAATAATTCTCAGTTTTAAAATTTTGAATTTCCTAGTTGCCTAAAAGAGAAAATAGAAATGTTAAATCCATACCAAACTCATTTCAATTTTTTTATATCAGTACTAAAATAACCTAGCACAAAGATACTACTGTGGAAATAAAAGTTACAGACATGCCTGGTTTGAATTCCAGTTCCATTATAATTTGAGCTACACAACGTTGGGATAGTTAACTTATCTGGGTTCTCATCTGTAAAAAGGGATACCACCGCCTCCCTTATATGATGGACATAAAGATTAAGTAAGATGATACATATAAAGTACCTAATACACTACTAGCATTTAACAAATGAGTTGTTATGATTAATAATGGGATGTAATTTTCTTTAATATGATTAATCGAATTAGAAAGATAAGAAAACAAGGCTAATGATATTGAAGCCATTGAATATAATTTGGAATGTCTCTTATACTAAGAGAAAAATGATATAGTTATAAGTGAAAGTAAAAGCTTTAAAATACCCATGTCATAATTGGGAGCATACTCAGAAATGAATTTGTGACTTAACAATTCTCTTTGCTAGAATAAAAATCTTCAGGAATCTACCTAGCACAGGCCTTTTGCTCCACTTAACCTTTCTTCTCATTGTCATCCCTATCAGTTTTGCTCATTTCTGTAGCTACATCATTGTTCAGGTAATACGCTTCTCGGGTAGCATCCACATGTTCATTTATTCAACAACCACTTATTCACATCCTTTACTGAACTAGGCACCATAGGCAAGAGACAGAGTGACCAACATAACACCTGTGTGCTCTATTGGAGCTAGTGCACCCATTGGGAAGACTGAAAAGAGTTAAATACACAAATGAACATGCAATGTTAAATCATAACTGCTCTGAAGAAAAGAACACAAAGAGAAACATCAGGAGTGTACTTCAGACTCAAATTGAAATGACTTTGCTAGAGAAAAAAAAACAAATTTGAAGACTAGTAGACACTGGCCAGGGAAAGGAAGAAGACAGAGCTCTTCTATACATATGGAATAATTGTTGCATAGACTAAACTGAGACACAGCTTGGCACATTCCAAGAATTGAAAGAAGCCAATATGGCTGAAGCATGGAAACTGTGGCTGAGGATGGGGGTGAAGAGTTAGGCAGTGGTCCCATTACACACTGGCAGCATGTTGAGGAAATTGGATTTTTATTCTCCGGACAGTGAGAAGCTACAGAAATGTTTCATGAGAAGGGAGGGGCATAATTTCATTCATAGTTTTAAAAGAGCTATAAGGAGAGAGAAAGAGAGGAATGAAATAATGATGGGTTTATCAGAGAAGGAAATGGGGGACAGAATAAGTAGGGGAAATGAGAGAGATAGAAGATAGGATACAGGCAGGTGGAAATAGTGAGAGCAAAGAAAACAAAGCACATAAGAAATGATGTGAAAAGCAGCCCAAAAAGGGAAGAGTTAGGAATCTACTGCCACAGTCCAGTGACAAATGATGGCAACTGAGCTAGAATGCTGACAGTCTCC